GATGTTTAATCATGGAAATGGGAAACATGTTTTTTTTAACCTATATTCATTATAAAAATTCATTTGAAAAATAGAAAACTACATTGTAATATTTGTATTGCCTGAAAGATTTTGTTGGGACATATAAGGTGTAAAGAAAAAAATACAGAGAGAAATGGAAGAGAACAGAGAAAGACCTTAAGAGTGTATGTGTGTTTTTCCTTTTTTTTCACCAGCCCCAGAGGGTCAAATTTAATGCCGCTTACCAGCCCCAGAGAATTAAGTTCTACTCCCTCAGAGAGAAAAGTCTAGTTGAGTGATAGTCCACTGACTCCTTTGGCATCCCTCAAACTGAACTGGTCCTCAAGGTGTTGATAGATATGCACATTGCCAAGTAAAATTTGGCTGTTAAATGTTCTTCAAACAAAATGCAGGATATTCTATGAGGGCTAAACAAAACAATGCCTGCTACATTCAACACTCTTTTTCCTTAACTCAATGGCCAACCTCCTGCATTACATTGCAGATTGGTACCACTAAGTATAATCTAATTGGCTCTTCCCACTCCCTTTAGCTATTCATCAGCAGTGTACTTTCTCTGTGAAGGTCTTTCTTATTTTCAGACTTTTCTTTGTGTAAACAGAATGTAGCTTAAATTAGCAGAATATGCAATGACAGCAAATATATGAAAGCAATCTTTACTGAAGATAGGTAACCATTTAGATAAGCTTTTTACAGATGAGGAATTGGGGGTAAATTGTTGGTCAAAACCCAATTTTCAAACTACACCACCATTTACAGGATTACTATTGAATTACTTTCTACTCCCAACGGCAGCTGCCCCATTGTAGGATCTCATATTTGTTACACAAGTGCTCTGTATGAGTTCCAGCTCCAGCTCTTCCTGTTTTGTGTTGTTTGTAAGCTTTGTTTCGTTTCCTCATTTTGGAATATGCACTTGCTAAGTTTCCCAGGCTGGCTTGGAACTTGTGCTCCTCTTGTCTAACCCACCCAGGAAAGGTGTGTTCCACCACATCGGCCCCCTCTCCATGACTGATATTTTTCTTTTAAAAATAAATGTCTAAAGCTGGTGTGATACAGGGGTTAAAGTCCCCAAATGCTAACAAAGACTACTGACTCACAGATCTCTGGCAGACACAAACAGCTCCTCTGAGAATCTGGCAGGCTCTGTGACTCTTAGATCACTGAGTATGCAGAAATGATGGCCCAACAGATTCCAGACCCAAGATGGAGACCAGTTTCCACTTCTTGTTGCCAGACAATTGCCTCCTGCAGCACTGCTGCCCTTGCGGCCCTATGGAAAAGCCCAGAGAAAGAGGACTAAGGGCCCAGCCAACAACCAGTTCCAATTTGGAGCCCCATGCAGTGGTTCCTTTAGCCACAGTTGATTTGCATGGAATAGTCATAAGCAGGAAATAAAGAACTGGTAGAAAGTATAGTGAACCTTAATCCAAGGTTTCCTAGAAGATGAAATCAATGAAAAGGAACAGTTGTTGAGGAATAGTACTTTTAACCATGTAAAGGTGTGTTACATTTGTGAAATATTACACCAACTATGTGTTTGTTTATGCTACATTGTTTAACTATGTAAACAATGTAAGGCACCTGATTGGTCTAATAAAAAGCTGAATGGTCAATAGCTGGGGGGGGGAGGGTAGGCAGGGCTGGTTGGCAGAGAGAATAAGTAGGAGAAAGGTTCTAGGCTCCAGAGAGAAGAGAAAGAGGGAGAAAGAAAGGGAGACACCCAGAGCCAGCTGGCCAGGCAGCAGCCGTCCAGGAAGACAGAGGAAGCAGGGAAGTAGGACATATGCAAAGGTAAAAGCCCATGGAAAAATGTAGACGCAGAGAAACAGGTTAAATTAAGTTATAGGAGCTAGTGGGACAAGCATAAGACCAAACATTCCTAACTAATAGTGTCTGTCATGACTCGGGAGCTGGTGGTTCTAGAAAGCCTACTTACAGTGAAAGAAAACTTTATATTTTAAACATTTACTATGTGACTAAATTACTTAGATACCTTTATTCTCTACAACCATCTTCCTAGATATGATTGTTTTCTAATTTACAGATGAGGTTTCACTGCGGTGGTTTGAATAGGAATGGCACCCACATAGACTTGTTTGAGCACTCGGGCCATAGAAAGTGCACTATTAGGTGGGTGTGCCTTTGTGGAGGAAGTGTGTCACTGTGGGGGTGGGCTTTGAGGTCTTATATGCTCAAGCTGCGCCCAATATGGTGCAATGTCCTTCTGCTACCTACGGATCAAGGTGTAGAACTCTCAGGTCCTTCTCCAGCACCATGTGTCTGCCCACTGCCATGCTTCTCGCCATGATAAAGGACTAAACTTCTAAAACTATAAGCTAGCCCCAATGAAACGCTTTCCTTTATAAGAGCTACTATGGTCATGGTGTCTCTTCACAGCAATAGAAACCCTATAGCAGTTATAGACCCATAAGCTAAGTAACTTCTCAAGGTTAGGGACATGTTTGGTAGGAAAGTGAAATGGAGGCTCTGAGCTACTTCTGGGGTGACCCGTACACACTAAGGTATAGGGCTTGCCCTTCATACTGCTGTCCATCATGTACTACTTTTAAGAAACCCTTCACTCTAGTCACAATAATGGATATAATGGATGCTTATTTCTGTTAATTCTGATTTCAGAAAAAAAAAAAAAAAAAAAAGAGCCGCCAATTACATGGTATTTTGTGCTTTCTTTTTTGCTTTTTTTTTTTTTTTTTTTTAAATCAAAGTCCAGGGTCTATCATTTGCTCCAGGAAGACCCTCTCAAGTACTGACTGAGATTTAAAGTACATTTTCTGTAAGCCAGTGGGAGTGCCCAGTTTCAGCACTAAAGTGTGAGGAGTGTGAGTGTTACAGCTCTGGAGCTTTCAAAGCAGCCCTTCCTGACTTACCCGGAAGCCAGGCTGTTGCTCTTTGCTGCAGCTTCGGGTGATGAAACAGGAACCACCAAACTCAACCAACCCACATGGAGTTTATTGGGAAAGGGAGAGAAGGGGAGCAGAAATGGGAAGAGAAAGGACAAGAGTGAGGTGCTTGTTTAAAAAGGGGAAGGGAACGGTTTAGAATGAGGCACAGCAGTTGGGGCCCTTGAACCTGGAGTCATGGAGCTGCCCTTGGCCCAGCTCCACGTGGCCCCGGTTCCTCATAGTTTCTGCCTGCAGAGTCCGTATGCAGCCACTCAACACATGCAACCTTTGACAGCCTTTGAGCTGTCATCATAGTGCCAGGATATCAACAAGGAGCATGGCGAGGAGCGATCACCTGTGATCGCCCATGAAGAAGAGTGGTCCCAGGGCAGGGAGAAAACCCGAGGGTTAGAGAGCCACTGTAGCCAGGAAATGTTCCCCAAAGACAAGAAGGCACAGACAGGAGAGAGCTGGCACGGAGTGACAGGCAGATGCTGAGGAGAAACCACAGGGCAGGAGGAGTCGGGAGCAGGAACAGGGCCGGGTTGCCCAGGACCTAGGGAAAGGGAGAAGCCAGGGTAGCAACACAGGCTAAGTAGCACAGCTCTGGAGGCTATAGCTGCAAGAGGGCAGCTCAGCCCCGAAGAGAAAGGTGTCCTGACTTTCTGGAAGTCAGGCTACCTGAGGCTGGGGTGCGGTGGGGATGGCCTCCCTTGGGATATAGCCCTCTCCTAGAGAGATCTGTTATAGCCGAGCTCTGCTCTGTTACCCTGAGAATGTCCTAGCAGAGCTAACTCCTGCTCCTTCACCCAGTCTGCTAAAGGGGAAGCCCCTGCAGAAATGTAGTATCTCCTCTGACTCTGACTCCAAACTTGCTCAGACCCCTACAAGTTTCTTCTGTTCTTCTGAGCCTTGCTCAGTCACCCTAAGGGAAAGTCTCAGTAAGTTCTTTTATTCTACCCCAGCAAATGAAGATCTTCACCCAAGACTCTTTGAGAAAGAGATTTATTTGGGAAGGAGGAGTCCAGGGTCTATAGAGGGCTTCTTGGGGGTGGAGTTTTCCCAGGAAGGGATTTTTCTGCCTAGGGATTGGTTATTTTTCCTGCTCAGGGATTGGTTGGTTTTGTGTTTCAGTTGGTCAGGGGCAGAGTCGGTTCTGGTGTCAGTAGGTCAAAGTGGGTTTCTTTGGCTGGCCCTTTTACCCTCCGTAAGCTTTCTTCTTTGAACTACATTAGCATATGTTCTGTACCTGTCTAATAATATTCATTACTTATATGATTTATCTTTTTTCCTATACAAATCTTCTTCTGGGTCAGGATCCATGACTGGTTCATACATGTGGCTCTCAGAGGACCCACTACTGTAACTTACACATCATAGCTGGGTCAATAATATTCATAAAATGAATTATTGAATAAATATACAGTATAGGAAGACTATAATTAAATGCAAACTCCTTAGATCTATCTCTCCCAGCTCTTTACAGCCTTTCTTCATAGGGCTAGTTTTGTTAATTCTTAATCACGTTAGTGGCTCTCCGAGTAAAAATGAATTATTGAATAAATATACAGTATAGGAAGACTATAATTAAATGCAAACTCCTTAGATCTATCTCTCCCAGCTCTTTACAGCCTTTCTTCATAGGGCTAGTTTTGTTAATTCTTAATCACGTTAGTGGCTCTCCGAGTCCTCATGCTTGAGCTACAGCTTTAGGGTCTCAGAGAGCAGAGGTCCCTTTAGCATTCCAGCTACTGCCCAACAAATCACTATTTAGTAAATTACAGACATTTTGGATCTTCTCCCCATGAAGACCAAGACTGCTTGGTCTCAAAACATTTAAAGAGTTCCAGATTTTTCTCAAGCAAGGGACAATGAGGGCATAAGCACTAAGAAGAAAACGTCAACTCTGCTCACAAATCCCAATGCCATCATGATGGTCACACCTTCATGTGTGTGTCGGGGGGGCAGAGAGGAGTTAGACTAACATGACCAATGTCTTTAAAGTATAATGTTTCATATGAGACAATGTGGGAAGGCCCAGCTACAGAATGTATGAGTCCCCTTCAAAGAGAATGAAGAGCAAGGTGCATGTCTTTTATTGCTGCAAACTTAATGACAGAACAGAGTTGGTCAATATGAAGCAAGACCACGTTCCACATTCTTCTGTAGGACTTTTAGAACCTTGCATTTCCTTTCCTTGTGGTAGGTAGGATCTTTCGGCATCAGTTAAGTTTGGTGGATGATTCTAGTAAGTCCTTTGCTTCATTTATTTTGGATGCTAAGTAAGGAGATCCACCTGGGAAGACAAAGAGAAATGAATGTTAAAGTTTATGTCATTACTGACTTCTTAAAAATTCAATACAGGAAAAACAACAACAACTATAATTCAGGTATTTTCCCACACATTTGTCTTCTAACAAACTATTTTATATGCTTGCCAGAAATTGAAATAGCACAAATTAAATTCATTTAGTGAAGCATTATAGGTACCTATCAGTCAAAATATAATTTCTGAGAAAAATATGAGTTATATATTTTGGAGCTCAGCCTTTTATCAGATGTGGGGTTGGTGAAGATCTTTTCCCATTTTGTAAGCTGACATTTTATCTTATTGATGGTGTCATTTGCCTTTTCAGTTTCTGAGGTTCCATTTATTAATTGTTGATTTTAGTGTCTGTGCTACTGGTGTCCTATTTAGAAAGTTGTCTCCTGTGCCAATGAGTTCAAGACACTTCCCCCTTTCAGTGTAACTGGATTAATGTTGAGATCTTTGATCCATTGGACTTGAGTTTTTTGTAGGGCGATGGATATGAATCTATTTGCATTCTTCTACATGAGTCATGGTCAGCTGGAAAACACTGCTCATATAGTTACCACATAGACATTTGGCAGGAATATCTTCTAAACTTAAGTATAGGATTAAGTAAACAAAGTAACAGTGTTTGTTCATAGTTACATCTGAAAAGTAATAAGTATGACCTTTAAGAAGGAGATAAATCCATTTAAGAGGTTTTTTTCGTATCTTATAATTTGACAAAATAAACACTTGTTTATAAGGCAAATATACAATACATAGTGCTAAGAATTATCTTGCTAAGATCAATGAACTGACACTAATAACTGAGTGATAATAAAAATAATGCTAGGAGAAATCCTCCCTGTCCTCTGAAATGATTCTATTTCAACATTTACAGTGTAGTCTTGGATTTACAATACTCTCAAATAAAATTAAGTCAGTTCTTTTTTAGAGTTTTTTTTGCGATATATTATTTCTAATGCAAACAGCAAACTGAGGTGAATTTCAAATACAGAATCATTATAATCATAAGCAATGCTTATTTGACATAGAAAAATATCCCCAAATTGTCATATTAAGGTTACACATCATAATCCTAATTTCTATTTTAGAATACTGCCATTGCTTAATGCTTGAGCTAACAATTACAGTTTCCAGTCTCTGTTTATTATTATTATTTTTTTTAATTTTACTTTTAAGTACAAACTATCTACGGCTGCTGAAAACATCTTAGTGCCTCACAACTTTTAAGAAACCAAAAGTATTTAGACAGTCTCGATAAAAACTGTCCTGGCTTTACTCAGGTTGTCTCTTGCTACCACCCCACCACTTTATGAAGGAAAAAACAAGAGGAAATACATCAGCAAACATGGGGCTGCAGTAGAGACAGAGGAAGATATATTTAGTTTTTGCCTTAGAGGATACTGTTGACATTTTCATATCAAGATAAGAAGCATGGTAAACATTTAAGGAATTTATCACATAGTGACCTTGAATACACAATGAGAATTACAAAGAAAGTTCATAACCCCATAAGTAGATTTCATGATTATCTCTAAAAATGACCTTGGAGCATGCAAGGCTCATCTCTGTCACTGATCAAATGCTGGAGTTAGCAAGGATTTGCCAGGTACTTTGTGTGCTCTAAAAAATATTAAAATATTAACTAATTTTAGCTATAACCTTTAATTGATCAATATACAGTCTAAATATTTAAATTATAAGTCACCATAGGCTCATAACATGAAATAAATGAAAAAAAAAAGAGCACATAGGAGTACAAATCTTATTAAAAAATTTTACTCGTATTAAATAATAATAAAAATCTTATATTTATTTATTTGGTTTATTTATTTAAAAGCATCAGTCTAGTAGATATTGGTTAAAGAAGACTTTGTTTTCAAATAATATAAAGATTCACATCAATAAAAATAAAGTGAGTATTGCTATGCTAATTATCACAGGAAAACTGCTTTCAGGTACAATGCAGTAAGAGATTTCATGGCGTTTTAAGTTAGCCTATGGTATAAAACAATGAGATTAACATTTTGTACAGACCTAATATCTTAAGATCATAACATATAAAACACTGTCATAATCAAAAGAAAAAACACACACTGCATAATCATTGGAAGGTTTAGCACACGTCTCAATAATTCATTGAACAACTAGAGAAGGTGCAAGAACATCAAAACAACATGATGAGCAAGTGTGATTGAACTGGTGTTCATAAAACAAATATTCCATCCTACAAAAGCAGACTATAACCTTAAAGCTGCAAACTTAACAATATTAAAATCAGCAAGCGTGTTCTACTGGCAGTCACCAGCCAAGCTTAGAAACGGAGTGTTCTGAAAAATCATTTTCTAGTAAGTTCATTAGTTGTATTTTCCAGCAGTCTCCAGGGCTAGAGACACAGCTCAGAGGTGAAGAGCACTTGCTGCTCTGGAGCCTCCACCAACCTGTTAGCTCCAGGCCACTCTGTAGGCTGCTGCACTCACATGAACACACCACATGCAGACTCAAACACCTATACATAATTAAAAAGCTAAAACACTTTCTAAAAGTCACCATGGATTGAGGGAAAAATGCAAGTCATATACAAGATAGTGCTTGAGCATTCTACAATTGTAGAATTATGATAGAAACCCACAACATATCTTTGTTCAGAAATAATTCACATGTAAGATTTCACAAAATAAATTAGCATTCAAGAGAAAGATTCAACCAATTCAAAGGTTAGTTTCTTTTATTGTTTTGGTTTTTCAAGACAGGGTTTTTCTGAATAATAGCCCTAGATGTCCTGAAATTTGCTTTGCTGACCAGGCTGGACCCACCTGCCTCTGGCTCCCAAGTGCTGGGATTAAAGGCAAGTGCCACCATGGTTAGTGGTCAGTTTCTTTTAAAACAAAAGGGAGAAAAAAGAAAAAAACTAAGGACCCTACGACAGCTCAACAGGCAAAGGCCCGTGCTGAGCTCTACCCTCAGGACCCAGATGCTACAAAGAGGGAACTCAGATCATTCCAGTCAGAACTGACTCCCACAAGCTGTCCTCGGTCCTCCACACATGTGCCATGCATGTCACACACGGGCACACACTCCTCTCTCTTTCTCTCACACACACCACACATGGAACAATACTTTAAAAAAAAAATCCAAAACAACTAATCATCTTCATGCTAACGTGAAAATTTTAAATAAAAGATAAATTCCAGGAAAAACATGGTCTATTATAACCAATAGAAGAAAATCTGAAAAATCAAAAGTGTCCAATGTATTTAAAGAACTGAATCAGTAATTAAATGCCTAGTAAAAATCTTTTCAACAAATCCTAACCCTGCCCCCCCACAAAAAAAAGTATCAAACAATCAACCCACCAACCTACCAATAAACCATCCAAGAAATAGGAGAGCATATTCATCTTTTTATCTGCTCAGGATTGCCTCTGATAACAAACTCTGACGGAGTATCACAAGAAAGGAAACCGTAAACCAGCACCTCTCACTAGCGTAGATTCAGAAACACTATGCCCACTTATCCAGTCAGAGCAAATATCATGACCAAGTTAGGCTTACATCAGAAGAGCATGAATGGCTTTAACGAACATTCAAAGGTTAAGCAATGCAACTCAATATATTAACAGATGAAGAAAATCATGAGTTTTGTGTGCTAAAGTCATCAGAAATGCAACCAATGTCATTATTAGTGATAGTGGTAGGCTGGAAATTCTGGGTATGAAGTGAGGTCAAGAAAAAAGACAGTAGCCATCACTGCTGTTGTATAACACCATATGGGAGAGTCTTGCCATTAGAGCACTTCCTTCTCCCATCTCCCTAACACAAAAGGAATAAAGACCAGAAACAAATGGTCACTGTTTATAAATGATACCAACTATTCCACAGAAAATAAAAAATGATCTAAAGACAAATCACTGAGTTTCATAAATAAATCTGTAAGCTGATGGCTAGAACAACATAAAAATATTTCAAAGTCAACATTTGTATATTCTAATAATAAATAACTACATAGTAATTTCAGAAACATGACAATTTATAGCAGAAAAACTGTAATACCAGGATGGAGAGATGACTCATCAGTTATGAGCACTTGTTGCTTTTCCAGAGGACACAAATTCAGTTCCCAGCATCTACATCAGACAGTTCATAGCCCTCTGTCACTACAGCTCCAGGGATCTGATGCCCCAGGCCTCTTTGGACACCTGCACTCATGTGTGCATACCCACATGCAGCCGCAAACACCTACACATAATTAAAAAAATAAAAATCAATCTCTGCCTAAGGGTTGGGGCTACAGCTCAGTGGGAAAGGAACAGGTTAGCATGTGTAAAGTCCTGGGCTCAATCCCAACACCTGTAAAATGAACAAACAAAGCAGAACCAATACCTGGCAATAAACATGATATATCACAGACAGGACAAACACAAACTGAAAAATGGAAACAAAGATGATCTAAACAAACTAAGCTATAATCCACTGGTCCCCAGGAAGTAGGCATAGAGTAAGGGTCTGAAGCAGTGGTTCCTAACCTGTGGGTCAGGACCACTTTGTGGAGGTGGGGGTTGAATGACCCTTTCATCAGGGTCACCTAAGGCCATTGGGAAACACATATTTACATTGTGATTGGTAACAGTAGCAATGAAAGTAATTTTATAATTGGTGGGTCACCACAACAACAGGAACTGTAAAAAGGGTTGCAGTATTAGGAAGCACTGAGAACCACTGGCCTAGAGGGAACACACAGATCTCTCTAGGAAAGGAAAAGAGAATAGATAGATACGGGTGGGGGATGGAATGGGAGAATCAAATGGGGAGGGGAGGTGGGTAGTGGGAGAGAATACAAGAGACAGCCAAAATTAAGTTAAGGCGAATTTGTGAAGTAATATGGGAACCTAATATAGTAGACTTCCTAAAATATACACATATAGGAAGGTGATCTAAATGAAATTGCCAATCATTAATGGGGGAGACAGAGTCCTAATG